GACAAATCACCTGAGGAATGAAAATTCGATTTACGTGGCAATTTACGTAGAAGAAATTCAACGACGACCAGAGCGATGGGCGGTTGTGGATTTTATCGAACGCTTTCTCTTCAATTTTGTGAATTTGCTGTGTTTTGAGATGGAGTCAAGGTGACTGTATGCGTGACTCCGATTGAGTCGAACGTTCTATGACTTGGAAAGGACCAGTTCAAATTCAACTGTCCCGCTCCCGCCATCCACCGAATGAAACCCAGGATATCTCAGCTTCCCTCATCTCCGCTCTAAGATGACTACATTACGGTCTTTCCAAGACGAAATAGAGAACATACACGCGCGCGAAACGGCAAAGCAGCGAGCCATCGCGAATGCCACGGCTACTTCATCTGTAGCTTCGACGTCGATCCGGAATGACTCCCATCGACGAGATCATCCCGACAAAGAGAATCGCAGACCCCCGCTGCCGACGGCCGACGCTGCTGGCCCTGCAATCGATGGCTCGGAGCTCGCCAAACAACACCCTCCAGCCGAGGCGGACTTCGACCCGGAGGACGATCGACGTCTTCAGGTGCCTCGCGTTGCTTTTGACTTTCATGTTCATATTCACGACATCCTTTTAGGAGCTGCTTTTGACGGATCGCAAAGATGACTATAGTGCCGCTCGAGACATCATCGCGGGCCTGCTCACTCGTAATCGGGGCGAATGTCTAGTGAGGTTGGGTGCACACCCTCCACACCCTGCTCTGTTCTCGGGAGAGTTGAATGGTGCCACGGAGTCAGACGAATGGATAGGAGTACATCGCACCAAAGACGAAATGGAGACATTATGTGCTCGTATCACCCGAGCTACCGAAGAAGTGGGTGGAAAAGTGCGTTCGTAATAGCATCTGTATTCTTCATCCACCTAACTTAACACCATCTTACAGGTTGCTACACTTTACCCCTTCTCTGGAGATCGATTACGAACCACTCTTCTGTTGAGACTCCCGCCTCAAAGTGTAGAAGCCACACCTGAAGTGCGAGTGGCAGTTGTTGGCAACGTGGACAGTGGAAAATCTACAACGCTCGGCGTTTTGACGAGAGGTGCGCAAAGCCTGGTTCTTCAAAGAGACGCGGTTTGTGACGATTTGCAATATAAGGTGGATTGGATGATGGCAGGGGGCGAGCTCGGGTGACGTTATTCCGCCACAAACACGAAATCGAGACAGGTCGAACGTCTTCAGTGGGCATGGAGGTATGACTTTAGTTCTCATACGTCGGCGTTTAATGTTCATTTGTTCAGATATTGGGCTTTGCTCCAACTGGAGAACCAATATTGCCAGCTTCCTTACAGCTTCCTGTGGCGAGCCCAAACGGTTCCAAGGAGACGGAGACGGGACGTCGAGAGAAGTTAGGTTGGGAAGAGATTGCGATTCAGTCGGCCAAGGTTGTCTCGTTCATCGGTGAGTCCGTTGCTTCGTTACAAGAACACATCTACATTCCCGAGTACAGACTTAGCTGGGCACGAGAAGTACTTGAAGACGACGCTTTATGGATTGACATCCGGCGCTCCATCTTGTGTTATGCTGATGGTGGGAGGTAACGCCGGGTTAATCGGGATGTCGAAAGAACATCTAGCAATTTCGCTAGCTTTGAACGTGCCAGTCATAGTATGCATAACGAAGGTAACATCTACGAATCAACTCGAGTCAAAATCTTATCCTGACGTTACGAAAAGATCGACATGACTCCTGCAAACGTTCTTGCGGAGACGGTCAAGCAGGTGGTCAAGATTCTCAAGAGCCCAGGATGTAGGAAGACCCCTGTTTTCGTGAAGTCTTTAGAGGCTTCTGTGGAGCTGTCGCAAACATTTGCGAAGGAAAGGTATGAATGTACGAAGATAATTAAATTGATTACCCACACCATCATCACCAGATTATGCCCGATCTTCCAGCTTTCTAATGTCACAGGGGAGGGCCTCGACTTCCTTCGGACGTTCTTGAATCTGCTTCCTTCGAGCGAAGGAGACACTGCGAAGTTCGCTGCCGACCAGCCGCTCGAGGTGAGTTGCCACCTATCTTGGGAATGAGGGATGATGCCATCGATTAAACATTAGTACTCTGTAACGGAAGTGTGGTCTGTTCCGTATGTGGGTACTGTAGTGAACGGTATCATGAACGCTGGGCATGTCAATGCTGGAGATGCGATATTTCTTGGACCCGATGAGAATGGTACGTGCTTGAATCGATGAGCTGTATACCTCCTAAAAGATTCTTCAGGGAATTGGCACACGTCCGCTATCAAGAGCATTCAACGGAAACGGTAAGTGATTGAGAAAGTACGAATATTCCTTTTCTCAGTGCATAATGATTCCCAGAGCTCCAGTGGGTTCTGCAGATGCTGGGCAATGTGTATCCTTTGCTCTGAAGCGAATGCGGCGAAATGCGGTCAGGAAGGGAATGGTCATCGTGGCAAAGACGGAAGTTCCTCCCAAAGGTATGCGGTAATATCGAGCTTCAATTCAATTTCCTATCTACTATCTTTCAATCTGTAGCTACGAGACGCTTTATGGGCCAGGTGCTCATATTATAGTGAGTGAAATGGTTCTACTATGCAGGCGCACACAGTAATATCTTCAAAAGCCACAACACAACTTTACAGAAGGGTTACCAGGTACGAAACTTCCGAATTCCATTTCGATTTGCTCTGACGTTTTTCCCAACAGGCTATGTTGCATTGTGGAGTACGTGATATCGTCCGCTGACCGATGTCGATTACACCTTTACTGATTTGTCTTTCAGGCTGTCCGCCAGACGGTTCGTATCGTCAACATGGACAATCCAAACGGCGTACTGCGTACTGGTGACCGTGCAACAGTGGAGTTTGAATTTATCTCGCATCCAGAATTCATTAAGGAAGGCATGAAGCTTTTGTTCCGCGAAGGAAAGACTAAGGCGAGTCGGGTTCCATCGTTTCTCGCTCCCTTTCCTCATCGAAACTGCAGGGCCTTGGCGTAATAACAGAATTATTGTGACTTTGTAAATCTCGCTTCGACACACATTTTCGCTTTGTATCATGTACTTGCAATCCAACGAATGTACAATACAGAGCAGTGTACATTACAGCTGTACGATTAGTCATCCAACAAAGTGTCGTCATCATGATCGCAGCGGTTCTTCTTCTTGCTGCGAGCGCGCATGCGCATGTCTTCAGCATATGAACTCGTCTCCTCCTCTCAACCCACTACCACCACCAACGCTACCAGACGTATAGGTTCCAAGATTCCCGAGCAAAAGAACAAGACGAGGCTAAGCAAAGAAAGACTCTTTCTCCTCGCTTTCATCACTTTTTCAGCCAGTCTCGTTCTACTTGTTTACCGCGTCGGTAACTCGTTCTTCATTCCAAGTTCGAAGATACCCGTTGGAGAGATTGTGATGCAGTCGAAGTACAGCGTCGGATAGTAAGCCTCCTGTATAGATGAGCTCTTCGCCTCTGACGTCGCCTTGTAGTTTCGTCAACTGGTATGTTGAACTTCGATTCCGGTTTAAACGCTCGAATTTATTAAACCCGATTCAAGGGGCATTTATGGCAGAAAGTTTCCTCCCTCTTTGATCCCAGCGAATGATTTGACGTATGTACATCTGCACTCAATTTGTCATTGACTAAAGTTCCATCGATAGGCATATCCTTTATGCCTTCGCAAATGTGCGTCCCGACTCTGGGGAAGTACACCTGTCGGACGTCTGGGCAGACAAGGATATACATTATCCCGGCGACTCATGGGACGACTCTGGAAACAACCTGTACGGAAATTTCAAGGCCATCTACCTGTTGAAGAAAAAGCACAGGCATCTTAAACTTTTACTCTCGATTGGAGGGTGGACATATTCACCGTCATTCCATCCCGTTGTCGTGTCACCTTCTCATCGTGCGCGTTTTGTGGAGAGCTCTATAAAGCTCTTGGAAGATTATGGCTTGGATGGCTTGGACATTGACTACGAATACCCTAGCAACGACGAGCAGGCCAGAGGGTATGCTGCCTTGCTAAGGGAAATGAGGGAAGGCCTCGACAGGCATGCTCAAAGGAAGTCCGCTGACTATCGCTTCTTGCTGACCGTGCGCCCTCATTCTCTTAACTTTTTTGTTTTATATTTTGACTGGCGATTTTTTTTACCAGATCGCGGCGCCTTGCGGTCCTGATAATTACAAAAAGCTGCATGCTGCTGAAATGGACAGATACCTTGACTTCTGGAACCTGATGGCCTACGATTACTGTGAGTACCCGATGTGGTTCTCGATATATGCGGATGGAAGACTAATATCACCATAAGCTGGCTCTTGGGATAGCGTTGCGAACCATCAGGCGAACGTCTTCGGGGGACCCATCAGTACCTCAGAAGCAATCGCTTGGTATACTAATAACGGCGTGCCTCGCGATAAAATTGTCATAGGGATTCCATTGTACGGCCGAAGCTTCATGAACACGCAAGGTCCTGGAACACCATTTTCAGGACTGGGACCCGGTTCTTGGGAACAAGGCGTCTACGATTATCGCGCATTGCCACTCCCGAACTCGTATGTTCACAGAGACGACAAGACGCTCGCGAGCTGGTCGTACGATTATGACAAGAAGGAGATGATCAGCTTTGATACCGAGGAGGTAGGACGGTGGAAAGGTGAATGGATTAACCGCGAAGGGCTGAGAGGAAGCATGTTCTGGGAGCTCAGTGGGGACAAGGGCTCTGATCGGGACGGGATGGAAGGTGGCGAAGGTAAAACCCCTCAGCCCGGGCAGAGTTTAGTGAAAGTCGTGAAGGAAGCAATGGGTTCTTTGGACCAAAGTCCGAACTGGTTGAATTACGAAGGAAGTCAATTCGATAACATGAGGAAGGGGATGCAATAATCACAATATGTATATTAATCACAACCTGTAATCGTGACAGAGAGCAAAAGAGAAAGTCGATGATTTTGTTCTCCAAGCAATGAGAAAAGATAATTTAGTTTTCGAAAGTGGCAAAATATAATGCTGCAGCGGAGAATCGAACTCCGGGCGGGTCGAGATGTCACAGCTAAATGGCAACGACCCAGGTTACCACTACCCCACTGCAGCTTCGTTGACAAGGGTTGTACATGATATATCACTGTTGACAGCTAATGATCGTGATTGTCGGACCGATGCCACAAGCCCCGCCACCGCCGGCCATGCAGCGAACGCCTGTGTTGATGAACTGAAAATTTGTGCGATGACATTGCCCATCTCTTTCTCTTGCTCTCTCTCTCTTTGCTCCGTCAAGTAGCTGCGCGCGTTCGATATAGAGTACCCTCGACTTCGCACCGAAACTTAGACAAGGCGGAATCCATCCGGAAGGTGAGGGGGGTTTGGGGTGCCCTCTCGAAATCAATTAACTCAAATGGCTGTTCACAGCGTTACTTCAATACCATCGGAACCTCCTCTGAACCCTTCGCCGTACCTTGGAATTTCTATCACGAAACGTACCGATTCGCAATGACGGTCCCACCAGAACACAAGATCTCGAGCCTTATCGATTCGCTGAAGACAGCTCCTACAGCTCCAGGTGCGTCCTCGAGCTCCCTTTGGTTTCGTGACTTACAAGCCGTTTAGATGCAAAGGCTGCCGCCGATGCCCTCGGTCGCGAGGTGTCGAGAGTTGGATTGCAGAGTCTTATGTGCGTAATGCTTATTTCTCGAATTGAAACCAGTTTCGTGACAAGATCTTACAGAGATGCCAATGTTCTTTCTACCCTACAAGCTTTTGCAACGAACAAGAAATCTGGATATGAGAGAGAATCCGGAGCGATCGGTTTCCAGTACCTGGCATCAATCCTGGGCACTCCTTGTGCGCCAATCCTGCTCCCATATCTCCCAATGCTTATGGAACTATACATGGACAAGGGGGACGTCGTAAGGCTGGCGGCTACGGCGGCGTGCAAGACCATCCTCAAGCTATTTCCACCCGAAGCAACTCGCCTCGTATTCAAACAGCTTATTATCATTCTCGAAACCGGCAAGTGGAAGACGCAAGTGGGCGCTTTGGATGCGATCAGGAGCTTTGTCGACAGAGCGAAGGAGGAGGTTTCTAAGGTGCTGACCGACATTTTGCCAAAGGTGGAACATGCTATGCACGACACAAAGGCAGAGGTAAGAGCTACCCTCAAATCCTTATTACCAGATGATTGAAGAAGATGGATAGGTGGCTACGGCAGCCAAAAAATGCGCCACAGCTCTGTGCTCCGTTGCAGGCAACGCAGATATCGACAAACACGTCTCAGTTCTCGTCGAATGCATGTCGAACCCATCGTCTGTGCCAAACTGCATGAAGGCCCTTTCGTCGACCACTTTCGTTGTCGAAGTCACTGCACCGGCGCTCGCTCTCCTCGTGCCTTTATTGCACCGCGCATTGAACGATCGCAGTATGGAGGTTCAACGTCGAACCGTGGTCGTCATCGATAATCTTGTGAAACTCGTCCGTGACCCTCGGGTGGCTGCAATCCATCTTAGCGGGCTTGTCGACGGAGTCGAGAAAATTATGAAGGGCGCTTCGTTCCCAGAGGTATGATTAAAATTAAATCGTGCTTTTAATCTCTTACCATTTCTCAGGTTCGAGCGTTCGCTGAATCGGCGTACAATACACTCATCAAAGCTGGTGCCTCGTCTTCTGCTCCGCCGTCACCACCTAGAGATCTGTCCGAAGAAATATCAACTGCGAAATCGGCGTTGATCAGTCTCCTTCCTTCTTCTCTTGTCGTTCGCGCTATCTCTCCCCCCTTGCCTAAGTATTCTGTCTTGAACACGTCTCTCGACTTCCAGGCAGAATTGGTAGCTGATCTGGTGCATGCTCGACGTTTCGGAAACAAGCAGGCGTGGTCGCGATGCATTGGAGACTTCATGACTGCATGGCTCCCTTCAGAATCCGATGCGACAGGCTTCACGGACTCTGTCAGATCCCATTTTGAGGAAATCGATAAAGCAACATATGGGACCGAGCAAAGTGGAGGAGATGAGGACGGGGAAGTTCTATGCGATACGCTCTTCTCATTGGCCTATGGCACATTACTGTTATTGTCGCACACTACATTGAAGCTCATCAGAGGTCGACGCTATGGAATCTTGGGCCCCAATGGATCTGGAAAGACTACCTTAATGAGACAGTTAAAGGATAGTAAAGTCGAAAACTTTCCTCCGCAGAGTCAGCTTCGTTGCGTCATGGTAGAACACGCTTTGCAAGGAGAAGATACTTCGCTGTCAGTGGTGGATTTCATTGCAGCAGGTGCGCGAGAATTCTTGATTCTTACACTGGCATGTGCTCAAGTCCAATGCGTATAGATCCGCATCTCGCAAACATCCCGCGTGCAAAAATCGAAGAACAATTGACAGAGGTCGGCTTCGATAGTACTCGACAGAGCGATCTCGTTGGAAGCTTGTCAGGTGGCTGGAAAATGCGATTAGAACTAGCGAGGGCGATGTTGTACAATGCAGACCTTTTACTCTTAGACGAGGTTCGTCCCAGATTCCATTCCGAGTCCCTTGATTCTTATGATGAATCGTCGATCTAGCCTACTAACCATGTAAGTATTTAACGACTCTGATTACTTATGATCGACACTGATGAGTTCATTTTCAGCTCGACCGTGCATCTGTGGCATGGCTTGAGGACTACCTTAAGTCTCACAAGAACGTCACTTGCTTAATTGTCAGTCACGACTCCGGGTAAGATTCCAATAACCTCTTATACGACATCCAATCTTACCATTCACAAGATTTTTGGATAACATTACGACAGACATAATTCATTACGAATCCAAGAAGGTAATGTCTACTTAAGGTGCATTTTAATGTTTCGTTTGATTAAAATGTTCGAAGCTCGTATATTACAAAGGTAACCTATCGGCATTCGTTGAGCGCCATCCCGAGGCCAAATCATACTACACATTGGCCGCAACCTCAATCAAATTTGCCTTCCCGCCCCCTGGGTCCCTGATGGGCGTTCGAAGTAACACTCGCGCCATCCTCAAAATGAACAACTGTACTTTCACATACCCGGGCAGGACTACACCAAGTCTTTACAATATCAGCTGTGCTTTATCCTTGTCATCCCGCGTTGGTATTGTAGGACCAAATGGCGCCGGAAAGTCCACACTGATCAAATTGTTGACGGTATGTTTTATTTTTTCCTCTAACGCGCATCGAAGTTCATTACGATGCTTCCGCAAGGGGGAGACTATGCCGCAGGAAGGCACTGTTTACAAGCACCCTGCTTTACGTATCGGATACGTGTCGCAGCATGCAACGCACCACATAGGTAGGGTTTTCAGCTGACATCAAGCGCCCCAAGTTTTCACGAGTGCTATTACGCAGAGCGACATTTGGAGAAGACTCCTATCGGATACATACAATGGAGATACCAAGATGGTCACGATCGTGAGTGGTGCTAAACTGGACTCGTGTTTCGCTCTGACACGCAGCGATAAGGTGAACTGCTGGAGAAGGTGTCTCGAGTGCTTACCGACGAAGAAAAGGCGCAACTGGAAGTCCCTTTCGTCGGCAAAAATGGGGCAACCCGAAAACTTGAGGCACGTCAATAGCTCGCATCATTGTGGGATTGATCATAATATTGCGCAGTACATTTTGGGGAGACAAAAACTCAAGAAATCGTTACAATACGAAATTAAATGGCGTGGGCTTGAACACAAATTCAATACATGGGTCCCTCGGGAGCAGCTCATCGAGAAGGGTTTCACAAAGCTCGTTCAGCAGTTCGATGATCTAGAGTCGTCTCGAGAAGGCGCAGGTCAACGCGAAACCTCAGCGCATCTCATCCGAAAGCACCTAGAAGACATCGGCCTGGACGGAGACATCGCACAATACAACGAAATCAGCGGTCTATCCGGCGGTAAGCGAGATTTCTCTCAGTGCATGGCGGCTAACGCATCGCTCACACTTCACACCTTTAGGACAAAAAATAAAACTGGTGATAGCCGCTTGCTTGTGGAATAATCCCCAGGTGATGCCCAACCCTCGATCAACTGACCGCGGACATTGACGAATAATTGAAATAGATCTGTGTTCTCGACGAACCAAGCAACTTCTTGGACAGAGAAGCACTCGGAGGCCTCGCTGTCGCCATTCGTGACTGGGCTGGAGCCGTGGTACGTTACCCATCACCTTCGTAGCAAGTGATGTTTGAAAGTGATGTTTTCACAGGTCATCATCTCTCACAACAATGAGTTCGTTACCGCTTTGTGTAGGTGGCTTCCTCAAGATTCACATTTGCGCCTCCTGTCTCACCGAATGTTGCAGGTCCAGAAATCTGGAACGTCGAAGGCGGTCGCATGACTCACAAAGGAAAGAGCTCCGTAGTCGAAGATGCTTTCGCCGATGCGAAGTCTGCTAGTGCCAGCGGTGCAAATACTCCTATCAGGTCTCGCTTGCATACTCCTGCAGCTTCAACTAACGCGACGCCCGCGGGCAGCGGCGCTGAAGGGTCCGTTGAGGGCACTACCATGCAAAGGAAGAAGAAGAAAATGACCCGCAACCAAATCAAGGCGCAAGAAGAGCGTAGGCGTATTAGGAAGCTGAACTGGCTGACGTTTGGGGGTCCTAAGCCGGACGACACCGATAGCGATTGATATCGTGCCATGCCCGGTGCGATGCTTTTTCCTTTCCTTTCGTTATAGAGCTGTGATTTTACGTGTCCATCATAGATGCATATAGATTCATGTAATCGATTCGCGACCGTTAGAGATGGGCAAATTGTTTGCTTGATTTCCCTGGTATTTTGAGATCTTTGCCAGACTTCGTGTCAGACTTGGTATCTCTGAGCGCACGCATCACTCGTTTTTCAAGACACGCACGACGGGAACGTGTCACGAGGGAAGGCTGGCCAGTGGCGTTTGTCGATCATTAGTTTATACGATCATTAGAAGACGTCACGTATGGCTTTGCACTGCGGGGGGCTCTGGGAAGCCCAGCGAGAGTTTGCTGCAGCACGTCTGCAACGCCTTGAACACGCAATCCGATGACCGGGAACGGGTTAAGACATACACGGGAATCCGGGAACTCGGGGAGAAACCATTCACGAGCTCGGCATGC